AGTTTTTAACCCCCCCCCCCCCACTGTTTTTTAAGTTTTGTCTAAGATTATTCAGATTGAAATTTTACCTAACTTTGATTTTTCTTTTAAATGGTCTTATTCCTCCTTTAAAAAGAAAACATAAGAAATAATCTTTTCAACACAAAATATATTTATTTATTTTTAGTATTTCAAGTTATTTGATATTTTTGTCGACTGTGTGATGAATATTATTTAAACAATATATGCTGAATACTTTATATTATAATATTGCTCAATATTGAGAATGTTATATATCCATATTATAAAATATTATGTTAAAACTTGCTTAACATCTAAAGAATATTCTAACGCTTATTTAATTTTTAATATTTGTAAATTTTCTACCTTTTAATTCGTTATATAGATTGTAAAGGGCTTCATGATAAGATCATGTGATCTTCTGGAAGTCCTACCGGTAATATATATAATGTAAATTTACTTTGTTCATATTTTTCTGGAAAAAAAAAAAAAAAAAAAAAAAAGGTGTACAATACAAAAATTGCAATTTTAACTAGAAGTTTATATATTTTAATACCTTTTCACAAATGCAGAAATTTATGATAAGCCTATTTTTCATTCTGAAAATAAAAATAAGTAAATTTCATATCATTTAAAATAAAATCAAAAAAGTAATTTAAAAGTTTTAAAATCATAAAGTTATACAAGATAAAAATTATTAGCAAAAACTAATTTTGATAAAGTAATTTGATGATATCGCTATCTTCAATATTATCGTCACCTTTTTTTCATCACCTTTTTTATCGTCATTACCTTTTTCTGTTTGCGGATTTTTCTTTTGACATGTTTGATTTCCGCCATTCAATCGATATGTTGCAAACTTCAAACAGTCTTAAAAAAAAAGAAGAGTCTACGGAGTACTCTTACATCCACGATTAATTCAAAAAAACAAGATTACTTTTTTCTGACTTATTTGACTAAGTTTTCTAAGAAACGATCTATAGAGGTTGTTTGGAACATGACATTAGAATAAGGATAAAAATTGGCGAATCCATCATTCGGAGATAACAAATAATAAATCAAAAAAAAGATAAACCAGTAAATTTTAAAGCATAAATTATTAGCATTTTTTAATTTAAAAGCATCTCAATATATGAGATGAAAAATTTCTTAGGTTTGAACCTAATTGAGGCGTTTCTAAATTTAACAAGTACAATAATTTATAGCAATTTATAGCAACACTCGTGCCACATATAAATAGCATGAAGTCTTCCTAAACGATACTCTTGCGTGACGAAAAATTATAAGCTTTTAATTACAGCTAATAATTTTTCACACTGTACCACAAAAGAGTATCGCTAAGGAAGACTTAATGTTATTTATATGAGGCACGGTTGTTGCTTTTGTAATAGATGTGACTTCAAATCCTTTGAATGGACAATTTTTTTAAATATTTTATTTGCTTAGTATTTGCATTAGGGATCGTCCATATAATATGCAATATATTACGCAACACTAATAAAGAAAATAAAAAAGATCAGAAGTTTTCCCTCGCAGAGAATAAAAAATTAAAACAGCATATTAAGTTCAATAAAAATTGCCGAGTAAAAAAGTTTAAGATCTCCTACATATGTTTTTTAAATAAACATAACGTTGCGTATTTTATCGACGATCCATAATTTTTTCTCATACCAAGATCTATATATTTTTACAACAGTTACTGTTTAAAACAATGCCACTTTTGAAAAATCTGTTTTTTAGTTTTTTAGCAGTCTATTATCTTAAACTTACAGTATTTGTGTAGTTTTGATAAAGTGCTTGTTAAAATTATTCAGAGCCAATCAGAGCAACTCCACCTTTTTGAATCTTTTTTTTTTTAATTTTACGTTACCTTTCAGACTTGTCATAACAGCATGCACGTTTATCAAACTACACAAATGCTGAAAGTTACAGAGCTGACGCTAGTTTAAAAGGTAGTGAAAAATTGGTTATTGGGGTGCCAACAATCCATAATAGAAGATTGACCGGCTTTCCTTATCATCTTTTTTCAGATATATGATGAAACGCAATAAAAGATAATATATTTTACACTTCTTTCATCAAAAACATTTTATATTGCGTCATATTAACATATCAAAATATTAGATTGAAAAGGCAAATACTAAATAAAAAACTGTAGAAAAATAAAAGAAAGGCTCGAATTAAATGTTAATACCTCAACTATTCGAAGATGATTAATACATGCCGATTTAAATGCAAGAACACCTAGAAAAGTGCCACTTTTGAGTAAAAGACATATCGAAAATTGTTCAAAATTTGCACGTATGCATGCTTCTTGGCCTGAAGAAAAATGGCGAAATATTTTGTGGACTTATGAAAGCAAAGTTGAAATTTTTGGTTCCCATGTTTGTAAAAAGTATGCTAGAAGACCAATGGGGGCAGCATATAAGCCACAATTTACATTAAAGACCGTCAAACATGGAGGTTCAAAAATAATGATATGGAGTTGTTTTTCTTACTATGGTGTTGGGGCTATACATCGCATAGAAGGTATCATGGATCGGTTTGTATATGTAAAAATAATTGAAGAGATCATGCTGCCTTATGCTGTAGAAGAAATTTTGTTCCAGCAGGGTAATAATCCCAAACAAGTTAGGCAAAGCGTGGTTTAATGAAAACAAATTTGATGAGATGGGGTGGCCAGCAACCTCAACCCGATTAAAAACTTGTGGATTGATGTTAAACAAGCAGTTTCTGAAAATAATCCAAGAGGTTGTAATCAATTGTGGGACGTAGTACAGTCAGCATGGCAAAATATATCTGTTGAATGATGACAGAATCTTGTTAATTCCATGGAACGAAGATGCTTGGTGGTTATTACAAATAATGTGGTCATGCCACAAAATACTAATGTAGAGCTTTAAAAAAAATTTTTTTTTGTAATAAAATTTAATTATTTTTTGACTTTTTCATAAAAAATGATTTTCACTACTATTTTATTGCACAGTCTAAAAAAAATACGAATGACCTTCAATCGATAATATTGAAATTTAAAACCATACAGTGTTGCAACTATCTTTCTTAAATTTTTTTTATACTATTATAATCACAACATTTAGTTTATGAACAATAACAATAAAAAACAAGCAATAGAAAAATATATTTTGATGTTGATGAAAAATATAGTTTGTTGATAGAAAAATAAAATACGCACTACTATTTTACTGCACACGACTGTACTATTGTAGGTTTTACGGTTTTTCGTTTTTAATGCAATGGAATTTAAAATGTAAATAGTAACATAAACTTACCTTAAAAATTGCTGCAAGCATGATATTGTAGTGATATAAAAGTCCAAAGTTTCTTTGATTGGAAAAATTTTTTTTGTTACCTAATCAGTAATAAAATCAAAGGATTGAAGATATAGTAAGGTGCATATTTAATTTAATTGTTACATTTATAAACCTCAAAACAAAACTTCAAAACCTCATAGTAATTAAGGTTTTTGTACAATTTTTTTAAATTTCAACAGACAACTTTTATCTTATTATAAGATTGTTTGAACTGTGACTGTAATAGTTAAAATATTTTATAATTGACTTTTGTTGATTTTACTGAGTACATTTTTAATCCAAATAAGGAATCAAAGTATTCTAATTCAGGATACCGCTTGCCTTGGCTGGAACAAAATGGTGATGACTAAGTTTATTTCCAACAACATGGCAATCAAATAAATCAAATTATGATTAAATTACAGTAGGTTTTTTTAGTTTGTATTATTCAAGTTATAAAGGTTAAAAAAAAAAAAACATTTTTGGTTAAAAAATATTTATTCCTTAGATGTTTCAATTTCTTCATATGTTTCTACTAAGTTTTGTACAAATATGAAAAGATATTGTATATAAATACCAAAAATATGTTTATATACATTCATACCTATATTAGTATTTAATAAATAGTAAATATATGTATAAATTTATAATACATAATGTATTAAAAAAATTTTAATAGCCCTGGCTATCAACCCTTTTTAAATCTTATAATTTAGTAAGTTGAGACCGGGGCCGGGACTCCAATCCTTTACTATTCATGTGTCAACGGTGAACATTTAAATTTTTTTATTATTGGTGAGTTCCAATATGCCCTATTCAGCTTTGGTATAATTTTTATCTGAGTTGGTCAACGGCATTAAGTTTAATAGCTTTCGCGTTATTTTTGCGACACGTTATTTAGGAGCATATTTTGACATGGGGTGAACAGTTTTAAATAATGTAACTATGTTGAATAATAAAATAGCTTTCTAAGAGTTGAATAATGATATAGTTGTCTAAGCTTTCTCACACCGAATTATTTTTTTGCTTGAATTATTTTTACACCGATTTATTTTTTTGCTTGAATATACTACTTCTGTTCCTATTACTATATTTAACAGAAACTCATGTGACTGATCTAAAAAATTAGTATACTTTACATTTTCACAAAGTTATAATTTTCATGATACTCTTTTGCATAGCTGAAAAAAGAGAGTAAATAAAGCTCGTATTTTGGATACAGTCATTGATATAAACACGGCCGACGAGATTAAAAAAAAAATGAGCGGAAAATATTTAAAAGATTTTGAGTTAAATATTTTAGTTCTACTTCTACAAGGTCAACTTATATATATTACAAAACGGTATAAACTTTTTCGCTATTCATTTTTCGTGATCAACTTCTTGTATGCATGTAGCTCACTGTTTGTTTTCATTTCAAAAATGTTTTTCTTAATGAAGGGAGGGCGAAGGGGGCGGGGTAAAAATACTTGAGATGATTTAAGAACACACTTTATTAAATAAAAAAGAAATAATGAAAATGTTTTGTTCTATTTTTAAAACGCATTTATTATATACTTTCATTATTATTAGAAATTAATATTTAAAATTTCGAAAACTTTATATGGAAAATTATTTTAAAAGCTTTAAAAAGCTGACTACAAGGAATTTAACTTGAATTTTTTAAAAACTTTGCTATTTAAATTTTAATGGTCATATTGAAGGTGTTTTTTTTTTTTTATTAATATAATAAAACTAATAGAGATTTAAAGTTAGAGTTAGTTTGTGATATGGTGCTTAACACCTAATAAAAACATTACAATGGGTTCCACTATGGGATACAATCCCAAAGCATCAGTAAAGAATTTCACCCATGTTAAAGAAAACTTACCTGAACTTGATGCATTAAGTCTAATCAATTTAGTTGTATGCGCTATCATATTTATACTTGGTGTACTTGGAAACGGGCTTGTTTTTTATTTATTTGGATTAAAGTTTACTAAATTAAAATCATTTGAAATTTTTATAATAAATTTAGCTGTTGCCGACTTTATAAACGCAGTAATTTTTCCTACAAAAAACATTTTGGAATTAACACATCTTAATTTTCAACAGATAGGACTAAATGGCTGCAAAATAATTTCATTTACAAGCACAACAAGCATGACCGTAACAGCGCTAACTTTACTCACGGTCTCCATTGACCGATTTATTGCTATAAAATGGCCATTACATAAACGTCCGTATCAAGGCACTGTATTTGTGGTAATCGCTTGCACATGGCTCACCGCAACATTAATGGGAAGTGTTTATTTAATTGAAGGTAATGTATGCTTGCTGTCACCAAATAAAAATAAAACCTTTGAATGTTGTAGTTGCATAAAAGGTAGTGAACGCGTTGTATTTGTGTTAACAGTTTTTGCCGTCCAAACTGGTTTTCCAATAATTGTTATGGTAGTGTTGTACACACTGATTGTGATTGAATTAAATAGCAATTGTAAAAAAAGAGCGTTTGATGAAGGAAAGCACAACTTAAAAATCCATTTAGCACAAAACAGGAAAGCCAACAAAATGGTGGTTTTGGTTGTTGCTGTTTTTTCTATTTGTTTTCTTCCTTTTAATCTATTTTATGTGTTTAATTTGTTTATTAAGCAACCGATTAAAAACACTAAAAAAATTTTTAACATTTTGTCGTTGTTTCAGATGAGTAACAGTATTGCTAATCCGATCATTTACAGCAGACTTCATAACTCATTTAAAGACAGTATTAAAAAAACGGTTTATCTGTACTGTCTATCGAGGCCAAAAAAGAGATCATATCAGGAGAACACAAAATTTTCTATAATTAAAAATACTTCAATTCACTATAAAAAGCGCTCAAACTCTGCAGCTAGCAATGGATCAATAAAAACAAGGTTGTCTTCAATTACGACAAGTCATTATGAAGGAGATAATGAACGAAAACTATCAGAATTTACAGAATATGCATTCCATGACGATAGCTAAGAGACACTCTCAAAAATACGTTGATATTATTTGTTGCAACCACTATTTTTGATTAACGATGTATTGCAATCAGATACTGTTTATCCTACAAACAAATATTTAAAAATCCAGTTTTAAATTTAAATAACACAAAAAAAAAAACATTAAACATTTGGTAAATATAGAAGCTTGTCAAGTTTTATTTACCCCAGTTCATTAAGCAACAAGCCTGAGAGCGAGGATATTTTAGAAAAAAATGCACCTGAAATACGAAAAGAAAATATGAAGAAAAATGTTATTCGCTACATTTTTTTTGTTTTTAAAATTCGTAAAAAGTATAACAGAGAAGAATTTTTTTTTAATTTAAATGTCAGTTTATTTTTATCAAGTGTAAATTTTATTGCACGCAGACAAAACATAAGTTGCTACTTAGGGTTGTTCTGTTTTAAATTTTATTTTCCCTCGTATTACGTTTCAAAACGTAAACTTTTTGTGTTCCAGTTTGCACGCAAAATACGCTGAATGTTTTGATGAGCTATTGCATAAGTTTTACAATGTAAAAATTTATTCACTTAAATAGGTCTGAGTTGTTCTATATAAAAAGAAACGGGTTTGACGTAAATAAGATTATTTGCGTATAAATATACTTTATGAAATATACTGCGTGATTCCAAAATAAAACACAAAAAAAAAACGCAACAAACATTGAAAAAAAGACGCAAGCAGCATTTAAAAAAAAAAACATTTTGTTGAAAACCCCTCAGAAATTTTTGAAAAAAATTATTACTTGTTTTGTGCAAAATCAGAAATTCACCATCTAAAAACTTTTTTTTTTAAGTTTGCCAAAGATTTTTTTAATTTCTTTTTTTTTTGTATTTCATTTATTTTGCTATATAACAAAAATAATCAACATACATATAAACAAAACAAAAAAAACAAAAAAAAGATATGTCCATAGAACGAAGAAGTCAGTAAAATCTTGTCAACAAATACCGTTTTTCTATATAAAAATTAAAGTAAAACCTTTTCTTTTTACAATGATCTTATGAAATTAAACAAACAAAAAGTAGGTAAGGTAATTCGGAGAAAAAATACGCAGTAGTGGTGCAGCGGTAGCGCACTTGCCTCAGAAACAAAGGATCCCTGGTTCAAACCCCACCTCTGGGAAAGTTTTGTGACTTCGGTTAGGAAGGAGGCATGAACTTCCAAATAAATGCTCATCCGCGGTGCTCCGTCATAAGACCGTAATGACTTCTTGGGGTACCTAAAAAAAATAAATAATATAAATAAATGAAAACAGGGTCTCAAAGAAGATGAAAATGGCAATACGTCATCACAATCTTTTCAAAGAGCCTCTACATATACTTTCAATAGAATATAAATATTATATAAATATAGACTAATGGGCATAAAACTACTGCGCTGATCAGTAAATCAAATAAAGATAAAAAAAACGGAAAAAAAGAGTTTGAGACTTTGTTTATTGATATACGAACGAACTTGATACATCATACTAATTATATTAGTGATCTTAGATTGAATATACTTTATTTGAGGAAGCCAGGATAAGTTCTCATTGACAAAAATTCTTAAGAATCCTATACTGGCTTGTTTTTAATTAATTAATTATTTAAGATACGGTCAGGAACTTGAGAGAAAGGTTTTCTTCTTGTGTTTTTTTATGGAATAATATTTAGTTTGTTTTCTCTGAGTTAAGCGAGAGTTTATTAGCTCTAAACCAATTATTTACTCTATTTATTTATTTTTGTTTATTTATTCTTTTCATCACCAAAGTTACAGGTAAAAAATAAAAAGGCCATAAAACCAATAGTTCAAACTCTGTTTAAACTATTGGTTTTATGGCCTTTTTTTTTTTTACCTGTTGAAATTCTAATTTAAATTCTTTTTGGAATGCTTTCTTCCATTAAATTTTTGAATATCATTCTCTGTTCTCTGATGTACCAGAATTCAAAGGACTGGTTTAAAGTTTCCGCTATATTATCTTCTACGTCATCGTTACGATGTGTGATAATGATTTAGTATTCATTTTATTTAACCCTAGTAATTTTCGTTTCCTTAACAACCACCAAAGCAACTCTTTTTACTAAAAAATCCTCCTAAAGATTTTACCTTTCACAAAGTTAATATACTGGAATATCTTGATAAACCATTTATCAATATATTGTTTTTTTTTATTGTCTAAAACAACTTTAGAAAATGCATTAATAAACTTATACAATGTTTAAAGTTAAGTTTAACAATGAACTGAAAAATAAATAAATAAATAGGAAACAAAAGTTTTATGGAACAAAGAACTTAGTTGTAAATAGTCTTAATATGGATGTAATAACTGTAATGTAAACAAGGAATCAAGTTTTGCAACCAATGTAAACAAGGAATTAAATTTTGCAAATTACTACGAGTGTTGTTGATATAGATCTAAATAAAGTAAGATTTCAAATTAAGTGGCTCTAATAAAGTGAGTGCTTCTGCTGAAAACATAAAAATTTTATATTTGAGACCCAATCTATCAAGTAGCTGAATCACTTTTAATAAATTTAAAAATACTTAACTCTGAAGTTTCTAGTCTGAGATTTCCAGAATGCAAGTCAGCTGTTCCTTTTTGGAAATAAAAATAAGAGAAAAGCTCTAGTTTCTTGTCTCTATGTTACCCGCTGTAATTGTAATTAATCAAGAGAATAGTTATACTCAATCACATTCAACAAGCAAAAAAGTTTTAATATTAATACCAGGGCTGTATATGCTATGAGATCATCTGGTAAAAGCTATTCTTGATTCTCCGAAGACTTTTAAGAATTATAAAAAATTCGTTTAAAATTAATGCCATAAAATCTGTAAAATATTTGACAGATAATCATTTTGTTTTAAACTCAATTACTGATCATTTGCTTAATCCAACTAATGTTGTAGTATCATGTGATGGGACAGCATGATTTTTTTTTTGTTTCAATAGTAACAAGCAAAGTATTAGATGTTAAAGAAATGAACAAAGTATGTAAAGTCTGTTTTCTTAAAAAATAGCTAATTAAAGTAAAACAATTGTCTATAAAAAATGGCTTAATAAAAACAAGTCATATAATATAAACTTATTGTTGGAGCATTTTTTCGAACACTCGAAGGAATTGGAGCATTTTTTTAGAGCATTCGAGGAACTTATTAATTACTCATTGGAGCATTTTTTCGAGCATTCGAACTTATTAATGATCATTCGAACGTGTTTGACACGATACCCTTGGCAGCCATTATAACTGAGGTAATATCGAGAAAAAGTAACAGCACTTTTTTTTATAAGAAAAATCAACAAATTACGTAATGTTAAAAACATACTAAAACATAATTAAGTTTTTTAGTTTTACTTTCTCTTGAAAATTGCATTGTGACAACATCTCCTTAAGATTTGATCTGTGGCACTTATTTCCGTTTGATAAAGTCTTTAATATTTTATATAGTTTTAAAAATTTTAATTAGTTTTTAAATTATAATCTGCTTCGATTTTTCTAAAATACTAATTAAGACACTTTTGATAAAAGAAGTTTTGAAAGAATAAAAGTTGCATTGTTTTTCATTTTAAATAACAAAAATTTAGTAAAAAAAGCAAGCTAATGATTTGAACTTGCCACGCGGCGACTTTTACCTTTTTTAACCAGCAAGGGGGTTTAAAAAATATGTTTTTATTAAGAACATAGTTGAAAATTCTAATTTTATATTTAAAATAAACTATTTTATTAAATTTAAAATTTCTAAAAATAATAAAAAGTTAAAAATACATAGTATTAAGGTAATAAGGAAATTTAAAGTTTTACAGCTATTAAAACCACGACACCCGTTAAATGTTCTAAACTGAGTGGGCAGCAATTACAGAATTTAGATAACCATCAAAATAGTATTATACTCCGTATAATATTGAAAGAGTCAACTCGGACGCTTTTAACTGATAATGAACAAGGCATTGCAGATGTGTACTCGGTACGTATTTTTGTTAATTAGTATTTTTGTACTTGGTTAATCTACTAATTGTTAATTGATGATGCAGATGTAGTTAAACTTTTTTGTGTTAATAAAACTTTTTTTAAAATATTTTTTTTTTGTTATTAGGTATAAATAAATTGACTTCCAGTCAATACATGTGGTGTATTTTTTCCTTTTTTTTAATTCGATTAATTTTTTTAGATTAATCAGATGACGGTTTTGTTCAATATAGTCATACAATTGAAAACTATTGAAAATTGTTATGTTTTGTTAAATTGTTAATGTGTAAATAAAAATATCTTTATAAAAAATTTGTAAAGTTTTTTGTTCTTATGTCATGATAGAGATACTTACGTTATTAATGTGCTTAACTTTAGCCTTAAAGTAATTAGTTAAGTCTGTGCGTTTAACGCACAGACTTAACTAATTACTTTAAGGCTAAAGTTAATTAGATTAAAGAGGCAACTTTCTCATAGATTAGACTTACATGCAAACTTTGACTTTCTTTAAAATTAACGGGGCAAATCCTAATAATCTACGGATGGTCTGAAAAAAATTAAAGAAACTTATTAAAGAAAAAAAAAAAATAATAATAATCCCTCCCGCGGGGAGGAATTATTATTTTTTTAAGTTTTTAAAATGCTCCGAGTTGAATAAACCAGTGTAGGAGTCACGGTTTTTTGAAATTTTTTAAACCGATAGAAATTATTGAAAACATTTCAAGCGACTATTTTAGATATTATTTATACATGTACTAATATCCAATCCGTTGATAAATAGCGATTTGCGCAACAGCTACTGAAACGTTTTTTTCATAGCATTAAAAAGTGATTAATAAATATATTTATATAGTTATTTTTCTGCCGCTTACTAAATATATTAAAGTATAGATAAGAAAGGTGTGGAATTAATTTACCAAGACCCGTATTTTACAGGTACGGACAGCTAATATACTTTTAATTATCAAGAGCTACCTGGCGGTATGGAGCCAGAAGAAGTTCGCAAAATATGGAGTAGGTATATTAAAAAACATAATTTATAATGATTTTTAACATATACTGATTTCTATGGTGACGGAGATAACAAAGGTTATCCGACTCCACAGCCCTGTATTTAAGTGCTCCTTTTATTAGTATTTAAGTGCTCCTAAGAAGTCTTCACGGTCTTATCAGAGAGCATCGCAATATAGTATTTAACCAGAAAGTTTATACCTACTTTTTTATCAACTATGAAAATATGGCCATAGCCCAGAATTGACCAATAGACTTCCAGCTCTGAAGCCAGAAATCTCACCGCTACACCACGGCTGCTATAGATTATAAAATGGCTGTCGCCCAAGTAACTGCTCATTGGTTACTGGCCTGGTAGTATTATTAAATGACGGGTAGCCTTTATTTGATAACTTCAAAATTTCCAAGTACATGCCTATACCCTCAAC